GATGTGGCCAGCGACGTGGCCCGGCATGGGGGCAACTGGAGCGAGCACCTGCCTGACGCAACCTTGGCCTACAACCGCCGGCCACACCCGAGGATGTGGAGCACCAAAAATCCACCATGTTCCGATTGTACCAGGACAATGCCAAAAAGTTCCAGCACAACATGCAGCTCACCCAGCGCAGGCAAGAGAGACTGGAGGAGATGGGGGCCTTCCGGGCCCCAACCAATGCGCGACGAAGCTTCGAGCCGTGGCATCCTACGACAGCATGGTGGTTAGGGCCACCGATGGCTCCGAGACCTTACTAAAGCACGCCTTACCCGTGCCCCGCGGGAGCGCTGAGCCCAAAGCGAGACTCACCCGCCCACCAGTACCACTGGCAATCAGGCAGCTGCGAGACTTCAATCCAGGGCCTGCTGCCCCGCCATGATTCTTTTTATGCATGATAAATGAGCTCTGGGTTGTCAGCTGCCTGTGAAGCTGTCATGCAAAATCCTTCTGAGCAAAATCTGGTCAACTTGCTGGATTGTTGGTCACCACAATGGAAGCATCGCGGACGCCAACGAGGCATTGGCTCGGGATCATATGACATTTACTGCACCCTAGGACTGTATGCTTTTGGAGGCAACGCCCCTTGCATGTCGAAAGCATCCGCCATGAAAGAAGCATGTGTCGCAGTCAATCATTTCTTGCGAGATCGCTTTCCAAATGGAAAATGGACTTCCCTCGCGGTGATTCTGAAACCTCACATAAGACTCCACCGCGACATGGGAAACATGATTGGCATGCCAAATTATGCGATCGCGCTGGGCAGCTTTGCTGGAGGCAAAGTCTGGATTGAAGATGAACAAGGCACGTCACTGGACGAAGTTGTGATGAAAACAAAATTCATCAGCTTCGCGGATCCTGGCTGGACATGCACGACAATCCAGTATCCTTCGACGCGCGCCGGTTCCACAAAGTCGAGCCACACGTAGGTCACATGTGGGCCATTGCGGCATACACTCCCACTGCTTTCAAACGTTGCTCGAACAAAAATTGCGAAGAATTGACATCCTTGGGGTTCCCTGTTCCCAGACTCGAGTCTCTGCACGGAGAAACTCAGTCTCTACCACAGTCTCCCCAAATCAGGCTGACTCGACCCAATCAATCGAAGAAACTCTGACCCCGCCACACCATGGCCCAAAAGATTTTACGCGCATTTTACGGGCACTTTTGACCCTTCTTTTCGCCAGCCCTAAGCCCTCAGGACCGCCTTTTTCGAACGAGTTCCCGCCAAATAGGGAGGAAGGACTTGCCCCCACAACCAAACAACCAGAGGCCACGCCACAACAGAGGCCAGTTTTGAAACAGATACAAGAGAGAGTTTAGGGGTCTAGGGGTTTAGAGGTTTAGGCGTTTGGGGTTTAGGGTTTAGGGTTTGGAGCTTAAGGGCTGAGAGCTTAGACTTGACCATATTTTGCCTCGAACAAAAACGTAAAGTGCGCATGCGATTTTCTATCTATCATCGCATCAAAAGCCGCGCGGCAAGTGCAGGACCATCCCCTTCGAATTTCTCACAGGTGAGTCTTTTATCTTCGTGAAACGCGTCAAGAAACCCAGTAGCGGAGGATCCCCCCTGAACCCGAAAACCCAAACCTAAACCCTGAACCCTGAACCCTGAACCCGAAACCCGAAACCCTAAACCCCAGGATCCTCCGTCTCGTTTTGAAGAGATGACCTCGGGAAGGGCGCGGTCACAGGTTCTGAAATGGCGTTGAGCAGGAAACATTCTCGCAGAGGCACTAGGCCACAGTCTGCGTTGGCATGGCATGGAAAGAGGGGAGTAGTCCCTTCCACTTGTGGGCTTGTGATCTGTGTTTTTGTTTGGACTTCAGTGCTTCAGCGGCTCCAACAAGCTTCCGGAAACGGTCTTTCAGGGCTTGACCTCCCTTCAGACGCTGGATTTGGGCTTGAACAAGCTGGCAGAGCTCCCGGAGGCGGTCTTTCAGGGCTTAAGCTCCCTTAAGACACTGGATTTGGGCTCCAACTGGTCTTTCAGGGCTTGACCTCCCTTCAGACGCTGGATTTGGGCTTGAACAAGCTGGCAGAGCTTCTGGATGCGGTCTTCCAGGCTCCCTCAACATACTGGATTTGGGCTCCAACAAACTGACATGAAGTTGTCCGGCAACAAGTTGTGATGCATGGTGTTCCCTTAGTTGTTTTTTTTATGTATTTAGTTGCTGTAATTCAGATTGCCTAGAAAGGGAATTGCACGCGTTTTCATCTGAGGCAACGGAAACCTTAAAAAACAAACATGTAGGCTAAAGTCTAAACTCCTATTGTCCCCCTTAATATCCCCTACCCCTATAGAACCCTTTTTATAGACTATATAGCTACACAGCTCACGTGCAACTCTGGGCCTGCTAAGCTGTGAAAAGCAGAGCACTCGCGCAGTTCTTTTCGCAAGTCGCACTTGAGCCAAACACCGTAGTGTTCAGCAAGACTGTCAATGTCAGCAGAAAGCTCTCTCCAAGAGCTCAGGTCTCAAGGCTTACAAATTCCATCTCAACTTTGCTACACAAAGGAGGAAAGCAAAAGAAACACGCAAAACCTTTGGGGATTGCTTCAGGACTTCAAGTCTGTCTTAAAACCAACAGCATGCACTCACCATGCCTCAGTCAGGTTCCCAACGCACACGTAACGGTACGAACGACGGGGCAAGCACACGGAGTGAGTAACTGCAAAGGTCTGTCCCTCAGAGCTTCACACGCACTGCTTCAAGGCTTTGCAAAGCAAGCTCAGTGCTTCCAATACTCATCACAGGGAACTGATTCAAACGTCATGCCATGCCAAAACATCATGCCATGCCAAACATGCCACGCCCTTGCCATGCCAAAACAAAGCTCTCGCTCAGACATGCAACGGTAAGACAGTTTCTGTACTGCCAGCAACTAGGCACACCAAGGAAAGCGTAAACTTTTCTTCGTCACTTTCGAACAGAGTGCAGTTTGCAAAGGGAGGCATTCTCCCAGTCGGTACTGAGCTACTGCTAAGCTGCGGTACCCTCACTCTTATTCGTCACTGCGCCGTCAAGGACAGGGAACCTCGAGGGTGGCACCCGGTCCTGGTAGGAGCGGAGGTCGGCAAGTGACACGTCGAGACGCTAGCCACAGGTGGGCCAGCTATTCTACTCCCTAAACCTCCGAAGAGGGTGCCAGCTACGCCTCACAGAAAAACCCCCAGGGGGGAGGCGGTGAAGTGGTGGGACCTCACAAAACCCTCGAGGGGGAGGCGGTGAGGAGGCAGGGGCATGGCAAGGAGGTAGGCCGAACGCCTCCTTGCCGAGCAGTTGGCTTGCCTCCACTGGCTTGAGACTGAGCAACCTCCAGTCGGAGGGCTGAAGGGTCCCTTTGAAGGGGGCTGCTACGGCCGGCTCCCCAGTAGGGGTGTAGTAAAGGCACTCCTGGCGGAGGAGTGCCGCAACCACCGGCGTGGCTTGGCCGGAGGCCAACAACTGCCAGTACAGGAAGGAAAAGATCATCCGCAGATCACGGTGGTGGGCCTGCAGCACGGAACGGAGCCACTTGGAGACCGTCGGCTGGCTTGCCTCAACCCAATTCCACCACGAAAGGATCCGCATACGCTGTGGGAACGGGGTGTCTGGGGTAAAACCTCTCTCGGAGGGTGACCAGCCAGCTACGTCTATCAAGACGAGCTCGTGGGCGTCGGCCGGGGCCTTGGTGGCCCTGCGCCCCCAGTTGCGGGGGTTTGCGTCTCTGGCCATGAATCCGTAGAGGGCAGCGGTGCCCAGGATCCATGCCATATGCAGAACCTCCACACCGGAGGGGGTTGAGGGAGGCGGAAGGAGCCTTTCGAACTCCGTGATGTCGACCAGGATCTCGCCCCAGCCGACGATGGTCACGTTGCCGCGACCAACCACCCTGCTGTGGTTGGGGAAGATCCCCTGGTAGAAGGAGCTGAACTCCACCTCCCTCCCATGAGCGTGGTGGGAGGCCCCCGGTGCTGCGCTGGTCAATTTCCAAACGAAGTTTGGCTCGTGCGGGGCCGCCATCACAAGGCGGGACCCGCCATGTCCCAGGTACTTGGCTTGGAACCCCACATGATGGGGGAACTGGAAAAGGTCACCACACTGTGCCAACCAGTTGGCACGGTTGTTGGACCTAGCCTTGCGGTCAACCCGGATTTCCAGCACCTCCTCGCCCAAAACGCCGTTCCATGAAGGAGGTGCGTCGTGCTGGAGCTCGGTGTCTGAGGAGGATTCGTAGGAGGAGGCTGCGCGTGGCCGGGGGGGGGAGGGCCCTCGTCGCTGGCCGTAACTAACTCCTCAGACTCCTCGGCCTCCTCACTGGACTCCTCCTGCGTCTCGGCTTTAACCTCCGCTACTGGAGGTGGCACTGCCAGCAGGGACCCCTCGTTTGGTCGCGCCTCCTGCCTGAGGGTGAGCGTCCGGTCCTTCAGGGACCCTAGCGGTTGAGGAGCTGGGGCCTGGAGCTTGCTCAACCTCCGCAGAGGGCGCTGCTTCTGGGTTGCTCGGTGCGTCGGTGCCTCGCGCCAGCTGCCTGGGCATGGTCTTTGCCTTAGGGCGTGTCTGACCTGCCTGACTGGTCCTGCGACGTTGTCCGCGTCCGCCGGCTGGCCGGTGCCCTCAGCCTGCTCGAGCGTGGGCCGCTCACGTTTAGCGGGCGGGGTCGGAGGGACCCGCGGCTGGGTCTTGGGCTTGGCCCACGAGTTGGCCGCCAGTTGCTGGCGCTGCCGTTTGTCCGGGCGGCTGGCTTGCTTCCGGCGAGTCTCCGCCGTTAGTGGAGGACGCCCTTCTTCCGCCCGCCTGCGGTTGAGCGCCTCCAGCTTCTCGCTGTGCCTCATTGCGCCGAAGGAAGCTGGTGAGGCTCAGCTGCCCGTCGTGGGCGCCCTTACGCGGGTTGGTCTTGGGAACCGCCTTAGGCGGGAGTTGGCGGAGCGAACCTTCCTGGGAAGGGCGCCGTGGGCCCGTGGAAACCGCCTTAGGCGGGGGAGTACGTCGGAGGACTGGCTGAAAACCTTCCTCCGAAGGGTGCGTGGCGTCGTCGCTTACGGCTACCGGCTACCTTCCCTGTGGCAACGGCTGCGGACGAAACACTGGGGTTCACCGCCTGGAAACTGAGAAGGCATTGGGACTTGGGGACAGGAACCAGCTTGGTGGAGCCCTTAACACGACTAGCGCCCTTGCACTCAACCCCTAAGATTCTTGACAAGGGGTCCTGCCCTGGTTTTTGTTGGCCGTGGCATTTTTCGCACTTCCACACTTTTCCTAACGAAACCATGCGATGGGATGGGCGGCAGTCCCAAAAACGTGCAAAAACCTTATCGCCCGCGCCCAAATTGATGCACGGCGTAGCAATAATCCTATCAAGGGTGGCCACAGGGTGAACTTGCTGTGCATACAACCCACAAACCTCACACTGGATAGAGGAATTAGTGGGGTGCTGTTTGAAGGTCCAGGCGTGCCCTGACTCCTTTCCTTCAGCTGCCTGCTGCAACCTCCTCTTTTTGTTGAGGGGGGCCTGCTTCGTGGGCAGTTTCACGACGGTGCATCGTACTTTACGGGCTTTGGGCCACTCTTTCTTTTTCTCGCGCCTGGACGCATCTTTTGGCGGTGCGCACGGGTGCACCTCGTCGTGGCCGAAGATGAAATGGGCACGGCGGCCCAATGCCTGCTGCCACTGGGCTGCTGCTGCGTCCAGGCGTTTGACTTTCTCAACATGTGCCCAGCTGAGGCACTCCTCAGCCCGGGACCCGCACAGGGCATCCGCACGCTGGTTGGCGAACCATGCCCAGAGATTGGACCGCCCAAACTCCGCCACAAACTGTTCCAGGCTTCGGTGGCTGCGCGTCCAGACTGTGGTTAGTCTACGTCGCTCCTCCCATTGCGCCCCCCAGGAGTGGAGGCATGAGCGGCTGAGCTCAGCAAACTTAGACTGACGGATGGCTGCCTTGGAATCCGCTGCCACGAGCACCTCGTCCTGAGTGTACTCCAGCAGCTTGGCTAGGGCACAGGCCTCGCCCTGCGCTATGGAGAAGCCATTCCCTAGGACCCCGGACAGGGTTCCTCGCACGTGAAATTGCTCCGTTTCGGCACACCAGTCGCCCGCGATGACTGCCCAGGCCACCATACAACACCGGGGGTCGCTGGACGCCTGGCCGCCACTGGCATCCGTACCAAACCACAGGCCAGCAACCGGAGGTGAGCAGAACACTCCTGTTGCTCTAATGCCCATCGAACCTTCAGGAGGCATTGGGTGGCTGGTAAGTGCGGATGGGACGAGACCTCTGTCAAAGAAACAGGGAAATTGACTAACCTCCGCGCGAATGGACTCCCCACACGTAGGGAGGGCTGGGGCATCCACTTGCCGTGCCCACCATTTGCAATGGATCAGTATGTGCGGGAGGTCAGCCTCCTCTTTGCATTCTGGGCACAGCTGCTTGGACTTGTCGCTGGTATAGAAACCCCCTTGCCAGACGGACCTGAGGCCCCCACAGAGTCTGGGCCTACCGTGATGCTTCTTAAGCAGTCTACGGGCGACTGTCCAGTCCAATCCTCCGTCGGCCCCTCGGGCGGACGTTGTTGCCGCGACGGCCCGACACTGCGCTTCGGTGTACCTCCTGTGGAGGGCCTCCTCCACGAGGAGCTGTTGCTCACGCCCCGGGCCAGGTTGAACACTGAGCGCACCGAACCTCCAGACCTGTAAGGAGGGGGCTTCAATTGCCAGCTCTCTGAGGTACGCTTGCATGGCCATAATAGGGCCAGCGACAATCCGCCAAGGTTCCTTGCTCCGGCACATCTTTTCCCATGATAGCTCCCAGGCCCTGTGCATCATTGCACCCGTCTGGCCCTCAGGCCAAAGCAACGGGGCAAGGGTTTGCCAGTGCTGTTTTATGAGGAGCCACCCGGGGTCCTGGACCCTGTTCTCACCGAGGCTAAGCGCCACCTCCAGCGACCCCATTTTTACACGGTTGGCCCTGGTACCCGCCATTGCGCGTAGCGGTTTTCGCCGCTTGGGGCTGACACCTTGCCCTTGGTGTCCAAACGTGTATGCTGTGAAGACGCTTGCGCGGTACACACGGGCCGATTTGTTTTTCGGCAACCTCAATTTACTGAGGGCTCGGTGACGTCCGGTGGCTTTGAGATGCGTTTTTTCATGGTAGGCAATCGGCGCCTGCGCGCCTGCGCGCTGTCCAGCCCCAAATCCTTAGTGACCTGAAGGATGGGTGGGTCGGCCTCCGTAAGCCTGGCGCGCAGCGCTTTCTCGCTCTCAGGGGAGGAGCATACAAAACATGACTTGGTGCTGGACAGCACCAACTCTTCGTCACCAAGGTGCTGCCGGAGGCTGCGGAGCGCCTTGACCGCGCTGGTGTGGCTCTCGCTTTGCACATCTATGCTTATGTCGTCGATGTAGATGTCCATGTCTGTGATCTGTACCTCCTGCGTGAGGCGGTCACAGACCGGGAAGAGCGCAGCTTTGGACAACGCTGGTGCCAGCGGGCAACCAGCTAGCACCCCCCGCTGGGCGTACACCGGGGGGGCGACCACTCCTCCGCTGATCAGCAACCTCCCTCCTGTGTAGGCCCCCAGGGCCAAGCGGAGGAGCTGGGGAGGGAATCCCAACGACAAGGCGGAGTGAACGAGTTTGTCGTGGGAAATCGTCTCATAAAAAGTTGCGAGGTCGATGTACAGTGTGATTCTATGTTCGTGGTGATGCTTGGAAACCTCAGCGAGGAGGACCCTCTTGACTGCGATGTCGATGCATGAAACACCGGCTTTGGCCGAGTCCCACCAGATCCTGTTTTTGATGTCCTGGATCCATTGGTTAACCAGCGAAGTTTCAGGAACAGCTTGAGGACAATGTGCATCAAGGCAATCGGCCTTTCAACCTCCGAGTTCTTGGCCAAGAGGATGATGCTACTAATTGTCCATTGCAATGGCATGGCGCCAGTGAGCTCAACCTCCCGAAAGAGGGCTGCGAGGTCGCCCGCTGCTTCTTCCGGAAGGCATTTGAGCATGTTCGTGCACCAGCCATCTGGCCCGCCTGCTTTGTCTGGGATCCGCCGGCAGGCCGCGAGGATGTCGTGCTGGGTGAGCGGCGTGGTTTCCTGTGCCGCTTGGCTGGCTCGGGCCTCCAGCTCAGGCCACCTTTGGGCATGGTGGTGCGAGCTGCCCTGCCATAACTTTGCCCAGTACTGTCTTCTGGCTAGGAGCCGGTCGTACGGTGGCAGGTCCTCAAACGGCCTTTCCACCACCGCTTCATGCTTTCGAATGGCTCGGAAGACAGGCCTCATGCCACCTTTGAGGGCCTGCTCTAGCCAACTTTCATATTGCATCGTGCGCTTTTCCTGATGTTCTTGCGAGGCCTCCTGCAGGTGCCTCTTGATCAACTCGGAGACTTCCTCCCATTGCTGGTCGGCACCTCCTTCCTGCAGGAGGGTGTACACCAGGTTACCAACCTCATTGAGGGCAACGGTTGGCTCGTCGGCTTCTGAGTTATTTTGCAACAGAGTCTCAAGCCGCCCACGCGGCACAACGCTGCCGCTTTGGTCTCTTTGCGCCACAAGGGTTTCCAGCTTGGACCATCTGGCCTGGACCACTCCCAACCAAGGCCGTTTCTCCACGTTAGGAACCAATGGCTTGTGACAGAGCTCAACGCTCCAGCCACGCCCGGTCACCTTCGTGTGTGGGAAGAGAGCCGATTCCACCGAGGCTGTAATCGTCGCAAACTCTCTTGTAGCATTTGCGTCGTCCAGGAGGCAATGGCCGATGCACCCCTTTCCTTTGAGGTCGTCACGCTTACTGTACGGGGCTACATCATCCTGGACCACCGTCGGGAAGGACTGGAGCTGGGGTAGGGGGAGGCGTCCATGAGCAACCTCGATGGTGAAAACGAGGGCCGCGTGAGGCTTAAACGGAACCTCCTCAAGGAGGGTGACCTTAGTACACGCAGCAAGATCCCTAGACATGAGGGCGAAGTCAAGGGTGCTGCCAGACCCAATAGTGGCCCCTTCCGGGGCCACTATGACGCCTTTGGTCTTCTTCTCAATCTACATCTTGGTTCCAATCCCCCGTTACAATCCACGGCGTGGTGCACGTCGCTAGCGTAGCCAGCAGGGCGGCTACAATCCCTATGTTGGGGGCCGTGTTGATGCAACCTCCCGATTGGAGGTAGACCGAGAAGACTGCAATGTGAATCCCCTGCAAGTGGAGGATGACACCAGTGAAGCCGAGCCCATCCTGGAGGTGATGGGGCCCGGTTCTCCTTTGGATTGTTGCTGGTGTGAGGACACCGTGCCCACCAAGGATACCTGTGCCTTCACCAGGTGACCCTGCGAACCCTGTGGCCTGCCACCCTGCTTTCTCAGCGTTAACCTTAGCAAGGTGGAGTTTGTCGCCCAAGAGGTGGGTTTCCTGGACGCAGAAGGCATGCGGCTCAAGGTGGGTGGCCCAATCTTGGATTTCCTGTCGCCAGCTCGTGACGTTGGCAGACAGGATCTTGATCGGGCCAACTGGAAAAGAGGACTTTACATGGAGGTGCGACAGGTCCTGGCTGACCCACTCGGCCAACTTAGGGTCGAGGCACGGGTCATCCCCCGCCGCAATGGCAACTCCTGTCGACGCCAGCTGCCATTCAGCCGAAGATTCCGGATACACTCCGTGAATCTCTTCAGCCAGGTCAAGAGCGTAGGCTTCATTCAGGATTGGATGTGTCAGTAAACCTCCGAAACGCCTGTTGCAGCAGTGAGGTTTCCTGCTCATCCTCATTAAAGGCAGGTGGAAAAAATTTGGGCCCCGACACGGCGCCCTTGGGCTTACCCGCTTGCTTGGTAGATTGGCCACCATAAGTGGGCGGAACCACCGTGGAACAGACACTGCAATGGTGGTACCGTGGGACCCACCCCTGCTCCGCATTGGGGACATCGGTTGGACGAATGTGAGAGAGCATGCAAAACCTCTTGCTCAGTGCTAAGAGGGTGGGTAAGGGAGGAGGGCCCAACGGACGTACTGGAGCATGCGGAAGGTGTAAAGGCATGGCGCCTGCGCGCGCTCCGGCGCTTTGTCCTGGCCAGGACCGGCTTCCAGTCCGACTCCTCCCACCCTCCGACCTAGCCCTCCTGTGCTTCCCCCAGACCTGGGGGAGCTTCCATGGAGACGTCAGACGGCTCCCTCACTCGTCTTCGCTTGATATCATGCTGCTGGACTCTTTCAACCAGACGCGTGGATTGGTCCTCAGTTAAGGCGACCCCAAGGTCCTTGAGCACCTCCGTGAGGTCGAGTTCCGGGACGGCTGGCTCGGTAGGGGGGGCCAGCATGGCATCCCTGAAGTTCTTGCTCAGCTCGTCAACTCGCTTTTGCGTCTGCACCAGGTCCGCGAGCAGCACCTTCATGTCTGAGTAGAGTTCCGCGAGGACCCCTTTGGCTGTGTTGATACGCCCTTGCAGCCTTAGCTTTTGGTAGCCAAGTGGTCGACCGTGCCGCCTCATCATCCGACGGCATAGCCGCCTTGTCAACAGACTCAACGTAGGCCTTAACCTCCGCCGGGAGGGAGTCTTGGTGGACTTTGAGTAAATCCAGCAGAGCATCCTGGCTCTCCGGCTCCTCCTTGTCTGGCGGCGGCTTGACTCCCGCCTTCGTCAAGACTGCTTGTGCCTCGTCCGGCAGGTCCTTCCAGGCTGACCACACTGCATCGCGCATGCTGGGCTTCGGGGGCTTTGGGCTCTTCTTCTTAGCGTACGCCCCCAGAGGGGGCCATGGCTCGTCCCACTCCCAGACCACTTGCCTTGGGGGTCTGGGACTCGGGGCGGGCATCCAGGGCGTCTTGCAATACCAGCATTTGCTGGTGGGCTGGACTCTGTCCTTTTGGATCCAGTTGCCGCAATCACAGTACAAAATTTTTCGCTTTGGCGTGGCCTGGGGCTGCCACTGCCACTGTCGCGTCATTGCGACTTGCGAACCTCCGAGGAGGTGGCTGGCCTCAGAGATTGGACTTATTGAGTGCGTCACACCACTTCTGCCGGCGAGCCTCCGACAAAAGTTTCCCCGCGTCCGCTATCCAGTCGTTCCTGGTCTTAGACCAACGAGCCAGGGCACGGATTTGGTTTGTGACCCGCTGTCCTGGTGTGAGATCTCGGCCACTGGGCTGCTCCTCGAACTCGGCTTGTAAAAAGGGCTTGAGTGATTCCTCCAGGGGAGCCCTCTCGGCTACCCCAAAGCGCTGCACCTCAGGGCAGCGAAATCGCTCTCTATCCGCCGTGGTGCGGGGCCCCTGCCCTAAGGCCGGGATGAAGAGGAACCTCCGAAGAGGGCCTAAGTGCGCAAAACCCCAACCTCAAACCTCACTGAGAGGAAGAGGGTAAGGCCGGCAGGAGATGGCAGCAGCTGGAGCAAACTGGGGTTACGTACAGGCCTGTTGTCCCCACAAAGGTTAGGCCTCGAGTCCCGTTAAGATCGCTACAGCTCGCCTACCGCACAGGGCACCTGTAAAACCAGCCCCTGAGCCGAAACTTGGGCGTAAACTTTTCTTCTCGGAGCGCGAGGCGCGGCCGCCGAAACGGCAATTCCTAAAACCGTTCTTGGGTTTCCCACCTTTGGTGGAGGAGCCTAAAACTTCTACCACAGCTTACTCCTCACTTTGGAGGGTTTGTTCAGGACCTCTTTGGGACGTTGCTCTACGAGCCCTTCAAGAGGTGCCCTGCTTTCTCCCCCCTAAAGGGCGGGTAAGTGTGGTGGCGGTTGCCGTGTAGGCCCATACTCCCCAAGGTGGGTGAGTGAAGACTAAGGCAGAAGCCATTCCTGGGCTGGTTTGGGGCAGCCCTGCAGGGAAGGTGTGCAAACACCACTACAAGAGTGGACAAGGGCCTAAAGAAAGCCATCACTACCCTACTCCTCTCTTTGGAGGGTGAACAGGACTACACAGGACTGTACAGGTACAGGCCCTGCAAGAGGTGCCCTGCTCCCCCCTTTTAGGGTGGGTAGGTGTAGCGGTGGGTGCTACGTAGGCCCCCGCTAGTGGTGTGCACAGGTGGGGCCAAGCCCCCCTTCCCGGTGGGTTTAAGGCTCAAGGTCTTCGATTGAGGCGAAACACCAGTCCCCGCTGCAGTTAACCCCATTGACTGTCATGGGGAGGCAGAGGTTCAGCGAGGGACTCGGGATGATGACCCCTTGACGGACCAAAGTCCCAAGAACCTCCTTCCCCCCCCCCCCGTGGCAAGGAGGCGCTGCCTGAAGGCGATGGCGAGTCGCCGAGGGCTAGCATGGTCCGTGAGGACGATGCCTCTGGCCCAGGACGCCACCTCGGGGGTGGCGGTTTCGATCCATCCCCACCATGAGGCAATGCGCATGCGTTGGGGAAAACCAAGCGGGGCATCTTGGAATGCCCAACCCCCACAATCTAGGGCCACGATCTCTGCGGGCCCTTGATCGGGCCCGTCTGGGTTGGGGGGACGCACCCCCCAATTCTTTTTGTTCAGGTCCCTGACCCATATGCCTGCAGCCACTAGGGCTGTCAGGACCATGAACATGTGCAAGACCTGGAGGTCGGTAGGCTGGTCTGGCAACAGCGTGAGACGCTCAACCTCCAAAACCTCAATCTCCAGAGTCTTAAAGCCGCGGATGGTGAGTTGCCCCGTCCCCACCATCCTGGTTTGAGTGGCACACAAGCCTGGGAGCCGTTGGAACGACGCAGAAGCACCAGCTGCGGAATCCCCCTCGCAGTCTTCGCACTCGACGGAGCTTCGCAGAGCCTCACCTGACCCACCGAGGCACCAACCTGAGCCAGGCCCAACCCCACCTGCCGAGGGGGGAAAGGCAGACACCGACCCAATGCCAGTCAAACAGGAGGCAACCGAGGAGTCAAGCTCCGACTCCAGCGAGTCGTCTGGAGAGGCGGCGCCTTTGCCACCTTGGCCTCTCCAAGCAGATAGCCTCCACCTCACGGTTGACCGGGTTCGCTTCTGGCTGTCTAACCTCGGCCCAACCTTGTGGTTGGATTGTTTCCCAACCTTCAAGGGTTCCAGCCTCCTGGGCATAGGGGGAACGCGTGCAGTGTACACCTCGCCCACCTCAGACGGCAAGGTGTGGAAAATTGCTCTCAAAGCAGAGCCAAGCCACCATGGGCTTGAAAAAGCGCTTGGGCCCTCTTGGCGCGGCGTTCGACTGCGGCTCGTTGAGGGACTTCGTTCGACTGCGGCTCGCCGTCTGACGGGGGGAGGCGTGGGTGGCCTGGCGTGGTACCCCCCCCCTTTGCCTTTGCCTTTGCCTTGAGGAGGCTGCGCCCCCTTTCCTTTGCCCTGGCCCCATCCCATACCTACAGGTACTGAGGTAGCTAAACTGCCCTAGGGCTGCTACCTGTGTCTGAGACCAGCGGCTGCGGTATGGGGAGTTTGCGCACTTCGGGAGGTGAGGGCTGGGCTTGTGGAAACTGGGCAAGTGTAAAGGTACTGAAAGGGTAGTTTTGAAACAAGACGAAAGCAACATGCTGATTTCACATTGTCCCATCCCGGTATTTGCTATCCCTTTCTTAGGCCCCCAAAAAAGGTGGCAACCGACGGAGTTCCCTGGGCTGCTCTATTTAGTTTGAGGGCATTTGATTGGGGCCGCTTGTTCGGGGCGTGGAGGCAGGGTCTTTCAAGGGGGCCATGGGTTACCCCCCCCACACTTTGAGTGCTATTGCATTTCGTGCAAACCCATCGGTGCCCTTCGTTCACCATCACGTGGGACGCGTGCCACGTCCATGTTGGGGAGGGAACGCTGTCCGGATGACCCTTGCAGTGGTTATGGATTTTCCGGTTGAAGGTGTCTTTGGTGTCAACTTGTTGAATCCACAAACCGCAATTTTCACATTTGATTTGCAAATTGTTAACGGTGTCCCGGGTGACTGCAAAGGTGTGCCCTTTAGTGTCAAGGGTGCCTTGTACCAAACCTGTCAAAATTTGCTTCTTGTTAAGGCTCCCTGTTCCTTCGGGCCGTGCTGTTGTAACGTCACCCCTTGGGGTGCCCTCCGCTGGATTCAAGGCGGTGGGATCCTGGCCTATGGAGGCTTGCTTGCCCCGCGGAGTTCTCCGGCGTTTCTTCCAGCGGTTTTTGGAGAAGGCGGATTGGCTTGAGGAGGAGCTGCTGGAGGGAGGATTGGCAGGCTCTTCCTGGAGTTGGTCTTTAGGGAAGATCACCTGAGGGCCATCTTTCTTTCCCCCCTCAAGCAAGGAGAGGAGCCTGCGTCCTAAAAAACCGGCAACATCGGTAGCCAATTTGTCATTTTTCTGCAGCCTTTCTGCACGCTCAGTGCTGTAGAGAGCTTTGGCGTGTCTGGACACCAGTGCATCAACATCAGCATTGATGGAGCGCCTCCATTCCTGCCCTGCCCCCATTTTTGCTTTAAATTCCTCGCATCCCAAATGGGATGGAACCCATGTAAGGCGAAGCTCATGGGTGGGTGCAGTACCAAAAATGTCTTGGTGTCCTCCTCCCCCGTTAGGTCCCCTTCTGGCACGCGCAACGGCCCCTTTGCAATCACTGGTTACGTCTGTCCCCTCTGGAAGGAGAAGGGCCGCTTGTTGGATGGCCTTAGCCTCCCCTCGGTATACTGATTGCTCATTGCCAAGAAGACCAGCAATGGACCCAATTTGTTTGGGCGTGTCACCACACCATTCGTAGACTATCAAACCCCACACCACGTTTTGAAGCCGATGGTCAGTGGTGGGGCCACCACTGGCGTCAGTGGCTGCGAAGGCGCCTTCAGGGATTTGGTCGGGATTGCGGAGGACTCCCCGGACTTCCAGTATGGAATCTCTGGAAGGCAACTCCCTGGGAAGGTTGGGCATGAGTCCAAAATTCCAAAGACACTCGGTGGATTGATGCTCCGGGTAATCTTCCCACCATCTAGGCGGCTGCTCACTTTTCCACCATTGGCATTCCCAGAGAACATGCTTCCTGGTGGCTGGCTGGTTGCACAGGGAGACGCCTTGACGGCGCCTTGCCACAACGCTTGAAGCGCCGCCTTTTCCTGCTTGTTGGCTTGTTTTAGGAGCCGTCTGGGGGTTGTCCAATCCGGTCCTGTTTCTAGTCCTTTGCCACCATCCAGTTGAGCGATGCGGCAGTGTCGCCTTTTGTCAATTAGTTGCTTCAGCTGGAAGAGAAGTGCATGGAAGTCAGGTCCTTGACGGATGTCAAGAATCGTGCCTTCAACGCGCCACTTGCTGAGGCTGACCGCCTCCCACCCCAGCTCTTGAAGGTAGCACCAGGCGGCCCCGAGCGGTCCAGCCGCCCTTTTCCAGGGATGTTCAGCTTCACTCAGCCATTGCCCGAGTTTGTCCCAGCTCTGGTGCAATCTGCCAACGTCTCTGTCAGGCCAGCTGAGAAGAAGCCGCCGCACCGCCTTGAAATGTTGTGACATGATGGTGTAGGTTGGGTCTACAACTTTGTTCGAGTGGAACTCAAGGGCTGAGTCGGTGCTGGCAAGCGTGGGTCGGCCCAGGGCCGCAGCAAGCAAACTCCTAAACCACTTGCGCCGTTTAGGCGCTACCCCAACTCCCTCATGCCCATACAAGGCGGAGGAACGGATGGAACCGTTGAAGAGTCTAACCCGGATATTAGTACCTTTGACTTGCAGCTTGGTCAATTTTCTGGCACGTTGCCCCCCTTTAGCGTGTCTCCCTTTGGCCACTGTGATTCGTCTCTGCTGTCCCGCGGCATAATCCAGACCAAGGTCTTTGCCTAGGGTTTTGATGGGGGGTTCATGTTCCCCAATCAAGGATTGCAGCTCTCTGGCAGAAGCCTTGTTTGAGCAAATGAAGGTCGTTTTGGTGGTGCTGACCATTAGGCCCTGATTCTCGAGGTCAGCTTTTAGCTCCCTGTAACACTTGATGGCCTGAGCAGCAACTGTCGGCGCATGGGAATCGACAACATCTGCTGAGCAATCGTCAACCCACAAATCGATGTGGTGTACAGAGGGGGCAGAGTACATCCTCGAGATCGGATCGTGGAGCACCACTCTGGAAAGAGCAGGGGCAAGCGGGCAGCCTGCTATGAGACCTCTGGCCGCTCGGATGGGGCGAGACAGACTCCCCTGCGCTTCTATGTATCGGCTGCCTGAGTAAAGGCTTAACGCTCTCTCAAGTAGAAGCGGGGGAAAGGAGTGTCTGACACCCTGGGCGAGGAGCTGCCAATGAGGGACAGTCTCATAGAAGGATGTTAGATCTAGGAGAAGTGTGATGGTTTGACGCTTCTCTCTTTTGTTCGTTTCAGCCCTGATCAGGCGGCGGAGGGCTGTGTCTAGGGAGCTGTTCCCTGCCTTAGCCTGATTCCATGGGGAGGTAGGGTTGTAACCAGTCTCCCACTCTGTGATAAGATGCCATCTCGCCTTGCAAAATATCCTGTGTAGGACATGGGTTAACCCAATGGGCCTTTCGGATGTTTCATTTTTGGGGAGCATGGCATACTGTGTGATATCACAATGCTGCGGAAACTGGGCCTCAATTTCCCATTGCCGGACCAGGCTGGCCAATTCAAGAATGGCTTCATGAGGTAATGCTCTGAGCATTTCATAGCACCACCCATCTGGGCCGGGGGCTTTGTTTGGGACCTTTTTAAGGAGGGAACTCCATTCCTCCGCTGAAATGGGCGGAATGTTGGCTGCTTGTTGCCTTGCTTTGTTTTGTAGGGCCAAGCGAGGGTCACTGCCGTGAGTGCCGCTTAACCCACTTGGGGCCCACATATCTGCCCACCATGCCCTTCGGGCGTGAGGCTTAACCTCCACCGCAAGGTCCGCAAATGGGCGAGTCGTAACATTTTCCTCAGTTTTGAGTGCACGGTAAAGGTGGCGCAGGTGGTTTTTCCCATCCCCTTGGAGCCATGCCTCGTATTTTTTGGCCTGTTCCTGATGTGCTTTCCTGAGGTGAAGTTTTCGCTGTGTTTCGATGATTTGTTTGACCTCTTTGGCCTTGGTCCCTTCTTTTCCAAAATGCTCTTGGACGGTAATAACCGCTGACTGGCAACTGAATGCGTCGCACTCCTCCCATTTGTAAAGGAGTTGGGAGAGGTGGGATTGGACCACCTGCTGAAGTTTGGGGCTCAGGCCCATGCGGAGACCTTGCCGGTGCCAGACCGCAAGTCTACCCCAGAATTTGTAGTTCCCACCAGCCCAGACGTAACCCGTAGGTTTGGGCGGGGCTAGTGGTCCAACATGAGTGTCAACCTGGCATCCCCTGCCTCTTATGTCTGAGGGATAGAGGCTCGCCTCAACGCGCTGGGTGAAACCGGCGAACCCAGCTGTAATGGCGTCATCCGCCCTCGGCTCTAGGAGGAGGCTGGGGTAGACCATGGTAAAATGACCTTGGAATGGCGCCTGCTCATCGTCGACAGGTCTCCGGAAGGGCCTGGCTTGCAGGGTACAGGCCCGGAAAACCCCTACATTCAGTGTGTAACGGATGGCGCAATGGGGCCTGAAGGGAACGTCCCAATCTGCTTTGATGTCCAGCCCATTTGATACGGTGTGGCTCGCAATGGCAAAGTCGATTTCATTGCCACCCATAATGGTGGGCTCGTTGGTGGCTAGCACTTTCCCACGAAGGAGGGACTCAATCGAGGTTTCGAGCATGTCCTGTGGTGGGATATTGAAATCCCCAGCCACAAACCATTCAATGGTAAGGCCTTTAATGAAGGCAAGAAGATCACCTAAAATGGTGGGGTTATGTCCTCCCGTGAGGCCTACACTGGTTTCAAGGTAGACGGAAATGAAAACAATGTCCCTCTTCCCTGTTCTACCTACCACCGCAACATACCCTTTACCTTCGACACCAAAGGATCTCAGGAATCGGAAGTTTCGATCTTTTTCAACCGCGATCATGACGCCTCCAGAGTTTTTCCCCCCCTCAGTTGGGTGGGCCGGTAGGGTCCAGGCAGCGTAACCGGCTTGGTCCAACTGATGGATGGCAAGATTCTGTTCTTTGGCTGTGAGGTGTGTTTCCTGGAGACACACCCCCTGTGGTCGCCTATCAAGGAGCCACGTCTTGATCTCAGCTCTCCATCGTGTGACGTTGGCAACTATAATTTCAAATTTTGCCGGGTTGTCGTTGGGTTGCTTTTTGGCATCTGCAATTGCCTCCAAACAAACACTGGGTTCGTTTCTGTGGGTGGCAAGTTGATGCAGTGCATGGTGAGCTGCCCATTCTTCCAGAGAGCCCTGGCGGACCGGCATTCGGTCCACCAGTTCCACCATCTCCTCCTCACATGCAGTAACTGAAACCGGTTGGAGAGATTAACTGGGGAAGGACCGATCTCCCTCCACTCAGGTGAGATAGTGTTTGTAAAAACCCCCCTAGAAAAGGGGGAAGGGTCAAAATCGTCCTCCGTCCCTGGCTTGGATGGTGTGGTCAAAACAGCCTGGGACTCGGGAGTGCCTGAAAGGCTGGCGGAGGGCACCCGGGTGCTGGCCTTCTCAACGTCTTTGGACCGAGAGGGCTGGCCCCTAGCCTTCCACTTCTTTTTATACACAGTGACAAAACCTTGTTCGTCCTCCGAACATCCTGGCCCCAGGTCGGGCTCCTGGTGAGGCCAATAGCCCATTATTAGACCCCACGTGGTGCCCTCCCGGCCGGGCTCCTAACTCCTGTGTTTGGGCGAGCGGCTGCGCTCCCCTTTTTCCATGCCCCCCTCTTTGACGGAGGTGGGCTGGGAGGCGCTTTGGGTGGCCAGCTTGCGACGTTTGTGCTCCAGCTGCACTTCAAGCTCTTCTCTTCTTTGTTCCAGGTCCTCGATTTCCATGTCGGGGCATCCTTGCTCAATGGCCACTTTGAGATCTATTGTCTGCGAGGCGCCAGGCCACTGCCCAGTGATTACCATGTTCTTTTGGTCTGGGGTCAAGTTCACCCCAATGGCCTCCAACTGGGCCGCAATGGCCTGACCCCCTATACCTGGAGGACTTCCCCCAAGTCCAGGTGGGAAACCAGCATGGGCCAGCAATTGCTCCGCAGCCTTCTGCCTTCGCTGAAGCTTATGCTGGGCCTGGGCATCCCGTACCTGCTTGAGTTGGCCTTCATCGAGGGAAAGACCAATGCTTCCAAGCACCTCGGACACATCAAAGTCCTCATCATCCTCTTGAACGGGCGCTTGGAGTACCTTGTCCCGGAACGTCTTGGCAAGGGTTTCCATATTTTCCTCAGCTGCCTTTAGTTCTTGCATCAAGTTTTGCATTTCGACATACAATGCCTTGAGAGCGGCCTTAGATTCGTCAATCTTGGCTTGGAGACGAATTTTGCGGTGGCCTAGGGAGCGCAGCTTGGTGGATGCCCCCTTTAGCTCGTTCGTGGCTGTTTTGGCGGCCTCTTCTGGTGGAACATCAGGAACCTTGTTCCGGTTGTGCAGCGCTGTCTGGACGTCCGCTGGCAGATCCCCCATATGGGCTTGCAAGAGGTCCAGAAGGGCCACCTCATCGGACGACTTGTCCTCCACCGGAGCCCTGAAACCTGCCTTAGAGAGCTCAACACGGGCAGCTTCGGGAATTTGTTCCCAGACCCCTTCCAAGGCCTTGTAGACGTTAGGGGTTCGAGGGGGCTTGGGCGATGGCAGGTTGGGCGAGCCCCCCATTGCCTCCCCGTTCTGGTTTTTGGGCTTGGGGGTTTTGGTTTTCCTCCAGGTGGCCGATTCCCACACTGTAGGACGCCTCCCCTTGGTGGGCCAGGTCTTGGCACACTTCTTGCATTTGAGGTCCTGCTTGATTAGATCTGTGTAGATCCAATTGCCACAGCCCTTGCACACGGTGTATTCCCGACCCATTGTGGGATTTAGAGCCCTTTCTCGTTGAGGTTCGAAATCCAGGCCTCAAGTCGGGCCTCGTTAAGCAGGTGGCAGCGAGCTGCCTGGACCCAGTCGTTTCTGGTTCGCTGGCGCGCCAGAAGTTTGAAGACCTTTTGGATTTCTTGGTAAACGTTGGCGGAAGGGTTAGTGTCCCAAATTTCCTCCCTCAGAAAGGGGTGCAGGGAGTTTTGCAAGCGCTGCCTCTCTTCCAAGCCAAAGAAAGCCGGCCCTTCTGCCGGTGGCGCAGGCACGTCCTTTGAGGACGAGGATCCTGAGGCCGTGTTGACCACCCTTTCTCCCCCGATGACGGTGGGAGGGTGTGTGGGTCAACCCCCGACAGGAGCGAACCCCTTTACGGTGGGTAAGGTGTGCTATGGCACTACAAAGAGACTGGGATTCAAGATGGAGCCTGTTCCCCCACACAAGGTTTGGGCCTCAGGGCTTGTTTCGCAGTCGCTCTCCTACCACAACACCCCACCGGGGTCTGAGCCGAAACTTGAGCCAGGGGGGTTGGCGTAAACTTTTCTTCAGCAAGCGCGAAAGCGTTACCCAGTGGGCGTCCATCATGCAAATGAATTCACCCGGAGCCCCTAAGGGGCGAGACATAGTCTCTCGGGCTGGTCGGCCAACCTGCTACGGCAAAACCTCAGCTCAAGGCTGGGAATGTGGTGCACCCACTTACTACCTACAGGCGCCTATGACACAGTTTAGAGGCTCTGACCGCTAGTAGAACAGGTCAGATGGAGGACTATGGCTTTCACTCGTCCGAGTCGCCAGCTGTACAAAGCACTTCGCTTTTCCTACTCCTCTCATCGTACTGACCATAGCCCAAGCAAAAGACCTGCTTCCAGCAGCTAGTCTGTGTCCATCACATCAGAGGAAGGAATTCTCGAAACCGCAGCCCCGAGGCTGGGAATCCATGGCATAACAGCACCCGCACAGGAGCACAAGCGACTGTCATGCACTGATTCCACAGCCTATAGGCCTGGTTGAACACGGCCAACGAACTTCCAAGCCTCACGCCCTAACAACCCAAGGGGGTCCTCTATCTCACCGTGCACAAAGCAGCAGCCCCTCAATTTGGTACCTTTAGCGCGGGGCCCACGCACTCCCCTCAACCAGGCGCAGGGAGCGACGCTTTCCCTTCAACTAACTACGTGCAGGCGCAGGGAACAACGCCCTGCTAGACTTTCTGCAAGAAAAGATTTCGAAACCCCGAAGACTGCTCCCAGGGACCTGCTGACTGCTCGCTGGGAAAGGGCCAAAACGAACCACATGGACCCACACAGTAAGGGGACCTTCCCAGGCAGCTGCAAGCAAGGGAAGGGAACCCACTGCCCCTGTAAAACCCCAGACTGTTTCAAGGGAAGGGCCGAATAAGGCCTCTGGGCCCCACGGCATGCCGACCCGTATGATCTTTGGTGCCAGCGGGCCAACTTTTTCTCAAAGTGCTAAAAAGGGAATCAGGGCAGAAAACCTCGGCAAAAGCCTATGCCAGCAACAGCATGTTGCATTTTTGGCCTCTGCGCTACACCCTAAACCCCAAAAGAGAAAACACCGGATCAAAAGGGACAGAATCCGGACAACAAGCCAAAAAAAGCTCATCACCCTTGCAATCTCGCACAGCGAAGAAGAAGGAGTGACTATTGGCCTGCACCTCGCGAGCCTTCAATTATATGCCCAGTGAGGAGACGAGATACAGGTCCTGAGCCTGCCTGGAAAGCCCCATGGTGCGCTGATCCCATACCTGGTGGTAGGGCGAAGGCAGGCAGTCCAGGCAAGGAGGGAAAGTGACTCAGCCGGCTGCATCCACCGTCAGCGAGCAGACAGCACTGCCAAGTACCTACCCTAAAACCAGCCCTAAACCCCGGGCACCAGCGGCAGGAGCAGTCACAAGGTCTGAGGAAGGACTACTCTCTGCCGCCGGCGCATGGGCCTGCAGGGAAGCCCCAGACAGCCCTGCAGAGGGCCAAAAACTTCTGCCTCATCTCAACACGAGGCCATTACCAAACGCATCCTAACCGAAAGGCTTAACGTCCTCCGCACATGGGCAACTGGCCGAGAACGAAACGCGCTGCAACCATCTAATTAAGGCGAAAAACCAATGGCAAGGAACCACACAGCTCCCTCTGTGCCAGACACACTGCTGGCACTTGCTTGGGTGCATCTGCACGGTTACGGGAAAAAGCCAGCCTCAACACAATTTGCGAGGCCCGGGTTTAGGATGCACCTCAACCCCCATGGTCCCTGCAGAGACTATTGGGTGGGACCAGGGCCAACAAGCCCCATAAGGAACCCCAAATCACTGAAGCGAAGACCAAGAGAGCCCAGGCTGGGCCGACCTCACGACACCACACGTGGTTAGGCCAGCCTGTGAGGAGTGCTAAGCCAGGTTTCGGCCGATACCTCAAACTGCCAGCTAGGCCCTGAGAAGGCCACTACTGGTGCAAACCACAGCCTCAAGGGCGGGGCAGTAACACCACAGCCTAGGGGAGGCGGGGACAGATGGGGTCTGGATAGAAGTGGCACAACAGCGTCCAGGACGAACCTTCCTGCAAAGATGCTTTGAAGCGGCAACTGTTGTATGACCAATCTGATCGGCGCGGTTAGTCACAACTCAGCCCGTTCGCTTCAGGAGAGCTGCTTCCGCACGATAGACCAGCCAAAACTAGGTGAAAGTTGCACAGCAATTCAAGCAATCGTCAAGACAAGTAAAATCAAGAAAACAGGGCACCACTATGGCAAACTAAGGCTGGCGGCCACGACAGCACTGAAGGCCTGAGCACTACGCCTCCTAGCTGGAGGGGAAGTGATGCCCACCTCCCACCTGGAGGGGATGTGGTGCCCACCTCCCAGCTGGAGGGGTTTGCCCAGTAGCTCAAGGAAGGGTGCAATGCAGAACCGCAGCCCCACGGCCGGGTAAAAGCTCTGACACGATATGGCTCGGGCGAATAGGCCAAAAACAAGGGGGTCCAGTACCTTAACACAGTTGAGGCCCGAAACCCAGGTTCACAGCTACTCGCTCAGCTACTGTGTGCACCCCACCGGGGTTGAGCCGAAACCTTGAGCCAGCGTAAACTTTTCTTCTCGAAGCGCGAAGCGCGGCCGCCGAAACGGCAATCCTAAGAAACCCGGGCGGCTACCTTGAGCCAGGCCTGGGGGAAAAGGGTTTTGACACCTACAGCCTACACACCCACAGTCGTTGTGACTAGGCGTGCTTGCCTACGGCACTGCTTACCCGGGCGCTTTCCAGGCCGGTGCTGAGCCCAAAATCCCACAGGAAAAATGAGGTGAGAAAAGAAAGCCTTGGTCACTACAGGCTACAGGACCTATGCCATCAAATGGAGGGACTCTGAATGGTCAACCCCCAGCGTCTTCTTCAACTTGGAACTGCACTATACAGGGCTAGGCCTCCTGTGTTGCTGCCCCGCCCCAATGCACTTGGCAGGGAGGAGAACCCCCAAGGCCTGGGGGCGGGGGGCCTTCAGCTCACCTTCTCTGGGCTGGACGTTAACTGGCGCAGCAGGGTTTTGTCCCCTCAATTTGTAATTAAGCGCGGGGACCACGCACTCCCCCCAATTTTAGGCGCAGGGAGCGACGCTTTCCCATCGACTATGGAGGCGCTGGGAACGACGCCCCAAAACCCTGCTGCAACGAGGTGGCCCCTGCGTTCTCGCTCTTACTAACAGGGGCCAGAGCACCCATGCCGCAGCAGCTCTGGGCACTCGGCTACCTCTACCAACCAAAATCCACCCCATTGACGGGCAGTGGAGTGGCGCACTGCCCTTGCATTCTTGAACTCAGGCAGCAGAGTGGCCATAAAGGCCCCCTGTCTGCCAAAATTACCTCCAAACGGGGAGGGAAAACCACCCCAAAGACGGGGAAAGGAGTGGAAGTACTGCCCTCGCGTGCATGCCACGGGCAGCAGAGTGGCCATCAAGGCCACATGTTGGCCAAACTTACCTCCAGCCGGGGAGGAAAAGCCAGCGTCCAGGCCCTGCAATGTACGTTCGACTCGATGGTGAAGATCTTTGGTGCGGGCGGGCCAAATTCAATGATTTTGTGCAGAAAAGGAAATTTGACCAAAAAAGCCTTGGCGATTTCCTATACCAGCAACGTAATGTTGCTATTTGGCCCTGCAATGCACGCTCGACTCGATGTCGAAGATCTTTGATGCTGGCGGGCCAACTTCAATGATTTTGTGCAGAAAAGGAAATTTGGCCAAAAATCTTGGCGAATTCCTATACCAGCAACATCATGTTGCTATTTGGGGCTCAGCGTGTCATCCTAAACCCCAAAAAAGCAGGAACGACTTGTTTGGCAGTAAAAGGACAGAAAATGGTGCCTGGACTGTAATGAATGGGTCTGCGCGAAGACAGAGAAGCGCGCACTGCCTTTGCACTGTGGCTGGGAAAGGTCCCCGGCGAAGTGGGCCGGTATACGCTCTCAAAGGTGACCTTAAACCCAACCAACCACCCTGGGCAACTGCAAGATCCAAACCTAGGTGACTGCGCGTCAAGGCCGGTGCTAAGCCCTCAAACTAAGCGCGAGGGCAAACGCACCCCTCCACACGCGCAGGTGTCGACGCTCCCCTCAACAAGCGCGGGAACCACGCCGCACCAGCCATGAAACACACCCACTGTTGGCTTGGCTTGCAGCACAGGCAGGACTCACGGTCTGGACACTCCTGGGTACCTGCATGCCCGAAACTATAAAAACAACAAGTAAGAGGAGGATCCCACACTTGGTTCTGCCAACGCCAAGCGATAGGGAGGCAAGAGCCCGTAGCAACTCCTGCACTTGTTCCAAAACCCTGCACAGGTGGCAGGGCTGGCCCCCCAACTCAAGGACGTAACTGCATGGCCCTTTAGTGGAGGACCTGGGCGCTGAGGAAGATCCTCCCAGAGGCTGGAGAGATGAGTGCTTCCTGCATGTCCAGAGTGCATAGCGCCTGAGTTGATGCACAAAATTCCAGCAATCATGGTACTGGTATAGCCAGAGGTGGCAGCACACTTGTGGCCCACACATAGGTAACCTCAACAACACCCTAAACCCTCCCAAAGAAGCCAAGGGACCCCCCTAAGGAGCCTCAACCACACAGGATGGTCCCCACGCTTGCCACCAAACTTGCCAGCGCCAAGCATGCATGCAATCCTAAACCCAAAAGACAACCAAAAGTGACCATTGGCGAAGACCTTGCCCCCATCTGCTCTCCTGCCAGTGGGCGGCATGATCTCAGGAATGCAGCGGCATGCATGACTGCAAGCAGTGCAAAGTGGCAAAGGAAAACAAAGCAAAACTTTGGGGAAAAAGCAGTAAGTTTAGGGGCACCAAGCGCTGGTGCTTATTCAAACTCAAGCTTTCCTGGAGGTGAGCCCCCCCGAGAGATTGCCACCCGCTCCGGAACTTGCGTCCCGCCGGCTGGGACTGGCCTAGGATGCAATGCACCCTTGCAACGGAGGCGAACCCCCGACGGTGAGCAGCGGTTCCTGACTGTGGAGACAAAAGGGAGGCGAACACCCTAAGCTCAGCCATGGCACAAGTTGGTCAAGCTGGGATTGGACCAAGGGCCTGTTCCCCCACGCAGATTTGGGCCCCGAGGCTCGTTGACAGCTACCAACTCCCTACCAAAGGCACCCCACCGGGGTTGAGCCGAAAGCTTGAGCCAAGCGTAAACTTTTCTTCTCGGAGCGCGAGGCGCGGCCGCCGAAGCGGCAATTCCTAAAACCGTCCTTGGGTTTTCCACCTTTGGTGGAGGAGCCTAAAACTTCTACCACACTTACTCCTCACTTTGGAGGGTTTGCTCAAGACCTCTTTGGGCCGTTGCCCTACGAGCCCTTCAAGAGGTGCCCTGCTTGTTCCCCCCTAAAGGGTGGGTAAGTGTGGTGGTGGTTGCCGTGTAGGCCCATACTCCCCAAGGTGGGTGAGTGAAAACAGGCAGAGGCCATTCCGGGTTGGCTTGGGGCATCCCTGCCGGGAAATTGCGCGAACACCACTGCAGAGTGGACGAGGGCCTAAAGAAAGCTGCCGCTACCCTACTCCTCTCTTTGGAGGTAAGCTGGACTACACAGGACTGTACAAGTACAGGCCCTGCAAGAGGTGCCCTGCTCCCCCCTTTTCGGGTGGGTAGGTGTAGCGGTGGGTGCGGCGTGGGCCCCCGCAGGTGGTGTGCACAGGTGGGTTTTGACCCCCTTCCCGGCGGGCTTACGCCTCAAGGTCTTCAATTGAGGCGAAGCACCAGTCCCCGCTACTGTTGACTCCATTGACCGTCATCGGGAGGCACAGGTTCAGCGAGGGACTAGGGATGATGACCCCTTGACGGATCAAAGTCCCAAGAACCTCCTTCCCCCCATCCGTGGCAAGGAGGCGCTGCCTGAAGGCGATGGCGAGTCGCCGTGGGCTCGAGTGGTCCGTACGGACGACGCCTCGAGCCCACGCCGCTACCTCGGGGTTGTTGGCTTCGATCCACCCCCACCATGAGGCAATGCGGACGCGTTGGGGAAAACCAAGCGGGGCATCTTGGAATGCCCAACCTCCACAATCAAGGGCCACGATTTCCGCAGGCCCTTGATCGGGCCCGTGTGGATTGGGGGGACGAACCCCCCAATTCTTTCTGTTCAGGTCCCTGACCCAAATGCCAGCACCCACAAGGGCTGTGAGGACCATGAACATGTGCAAGACCTGGAGGTTGGAGGGCTGGTCAGGCAACAGCGTAAGACGCTCAACCTCCAAGACCTCAATCTCCAGGGTCTTGAAGTCACGGATGGTGAGCTGTCCCGTCCCCACCATTCTGGTTTGCGTGGCACATAAACCTGGGAGCCGCTGCCCAATGGTTTGCTCAATCCCATGGTGGCTGGGATCTGCTTTGAGAGCAACCTTCCACACCTTGCCTTCTGAGGACGGTGAGGTGTACACTGCTCGCGTTCCCCCTATGCCCAGGAGGCTGGAACCCTTGAAGGTTGGGAAGCAATCCAACCATAAGGTTGGGCCGAGGTTAGACAGCCAGAAGTCACGGTTGTTGCTACGGCGAACCCGGTCAACCGTGAGGTGGAGGCTGTCTGCCAAGAGAGGCCAAGGTAGAAGAGGTGCCGCCTCTCCTGACGACTCTTCGGAGCTAAACTCCTCGGTTGATTCCTGCTTGACTGGCATGGGGTCAGTGCTTGCCTCTCCCCCCTCGGCAGGTGGGGTTGGGCTCGGCTCGGGCTGGTGCCGCGGTTGGTCGGGCGAGGCTCGTCGAAGCTCTGTTGAGTTCGACGATTGCGAGGGGGACTCCGCAGCTGGTGCTTCTGCATCGGTCTCCTCTTGGCGCGGTGTGCGGCTGCGGCTCGTTGAGGGGCTTCTTGCTGCTGGAGCCCCCCGTCTGACGGGGGGGGGTGTGGGTGGTCTGGCGTGACCCCTTTCCTCTGCCGGGTGTGGGCCTGATGGGCGTTCTTGCCTTGCCCCTTGGGAGGTGGCCACAAACCCAGCTGCTTAAGGCGATCTCTGTCCTTCTTGGAAGGCCGCTTGAAGGGGATCTCGCCTTTACCTCCAGGAGGATGGCCCCCTTTGCCTGCTCCGGGAGGTTGGCTCCCCCCCCCTTTACCTTTGCCTTTGCCTTGAGGAGGCTGCGCCCCCTTTCCTTTGCCCTGGCCCCATCCCATATCTACAGGTTCTAAGGTAGCTAAACTGCCCTACGGCTGCTACCTGTGTTTGAGACCAGCGGCTGCAGTGTGGGGATTTTATTCCATACGGGAGGTGAGGGCAGGCAAGTGGAAATCAGGCAGGTGCAAAGGTACTGAAGGGTAGTTTAACACAAGACATTGCAAAATGCAGATTTCACATTGTTCAGACCTGAAAATCACTAACCATTTCTTGGGCCCCCAAAGAAGGTGGCGACCGACGGCGTACCCTGGGCTGCTTTATTGAGTTTAAGGGCATTCGTTGGGGGCCTCTTATTCGGGGCGTGTTGGCAGGGTCTTTCAAGGGGGCCATGGGTTAACCCCCCAACACTTTGAGTGCTACTGCATTTTGTGCACATCCATCGGTTCCCTTCATTCACCATAACGTGGGAGGCGTGCCACGTCCATGTTGGGGAGGGAACGCTGTCCGGATGACCCTTGCAGTGGTTATGGGTCTTTCGGTTGAATGTGTCTTTGGTGTCAACTTGTTGAATCCACAAACCGCAATTTTCACATTTGATTTGCAAATTGTTAACGGTGTTCCGGGTGATGACAAAGGTGTGACCTTTAACGTCTAGGGTGCCTTGCACCAAGCCTGTCAAAATTTGTTTTTTGTTAAGGCTCCCTGTTTCTTCAGGTCGTGCTGTGGTAGCGTCACCCCCTGGAATGCCATCCGCCGAATTCACGGTGGGGGAATTCAGGCCTGTGGTGGCTTGGTTGCCCCTCTGAATTTTCCGGCGTTTCTTCCACCGGTTTTTGGAGAAGGTGGATTGGTTTGAGGAGGAGCTACTGGAGGGAGGGTTGGCCGGTTCTTCCTGGGGTTGATCCTTAGGGAAAACAACTTGCGGGCCATCCTTCTTGCCTCCCTCAAGCAAGGAGAGGAGCCGGCGTCCTAAAAAGCTGGCCACATCGGTAGCCAGTTTGTCCTGTTTCTGCAGCCTTTCTGCACGCTCAGTGCTGTAGAGGGCTTTGGCATGTCTGGACACCAATGCATCAACCTCAGCATTGATGTTGCGCCGCCATTCTTGGCCTTCCCCCATTTTTGCCTTAAATTCCTCGCATCCCAAATGGGATGGGACCCATGTAAGGCGAAGCTCATGGGTGGGCGCAGTACCAAAAATGTCTTGGTGTGCTCCTCCCCCTGCGGGGCCCCTTCTGGCACGCGCAACGGCCCCTTTGCAATCACTGGTGACATCGGTCCCTTCTGGAAGGAGAAGGGCCGCTTGTTGGATGGCTTTAGCCTCCCCTCGGTACACTGACTGCTCATTACCAAGGAGACCGGCAATGGACCCGATTCGCTTGGGCGTGTCCCCACACCATTCATAAACTATCAACCCCCACACCACGGTTTGAAGCCGATGGTCAGTGGTGGGGCCCCCACTGGCGTCAGTGGCCGCGAAAGCGCCTTCAGGGATTTGGTCTGGATTGCGGAGGACTCCTTGGACTTCCAGAATAGAATCTCCGAAGGGCATTTCCCTGGGAAGGTTGGGCATGAGCCCAAAATTCCACAGACAATCAGTGGATTGATGCTCCGGGTAATCTTCCCACCATCGAGGCGGTTGTTCACCATGCTTTTTCCACCATTTGCATTCCCAGAGTACATGCTTCTTGGTGGCAGGAAGGTTGCACAGGGAACACGTGGCTGTTGGAGACGCCTTGACAGCGCCTTGCCACAACGCTTGGAGCGCCGCCTTTTCTGGCTTGTTGGCTTGTTTGAGGAGCCTTCTGGGGGCTGTCCAGTCCGGTCCTGTCTCTAATCCTTTGCCACCATCTGATTGAGCAATGCGGCGGTGTCGCCTGGTGTCAATTAGATGTTTTAGCTGGAAAAGAAGTCCATGGAAGTCAGGTCCCTGACGGATGTCAAGAATGTCGCCTTCAACACGCCACTTGCTGAGGCTGATGGCCTCCCACCCCAACTCTTGAAGGTAGCACCAGGCGGCTCCAAGCGGTCCAGCCGCCCTTTTCCAGGGATGTTCAGCTTCGCTCAGCCATTGCCCGAGTTTGTTCCAGCTCTGGTGCAATCTGCCAATGTCCCTGTCGGGCCAGCTGAGAAGAAGCCTCCGTATCGCCTTGAAATGCTGCGACAAGATGGTGTAGGCTGGATCTACAACTTTGTTCGAGTGGAACTCAAGGGCTGAGTCAGTGCTGGCAAGCGTGGGTCTGCCCAAGGCTGCAGCCAGCAAACTTCTGAACCATTTGCGCCGTTTAGGCGCTACCCCAACCCCTTCATGCCCATACAAGGCAGAGGACCGGATGGAACCGTTGAAGAGTCTCACTCTGATGCTAGTGCTTTTGACTTGCAGCTTGGTCAATTTCCTGGCACGCTGCCCTCCTTTAGCGTGCCTGCCTTTGGCCACGGTGATTCGCCTCCTCTGCCCCGCAGCATAATCCAGACCAAGGTCCTTGCCTAAGGTTTTGATGGGGGGTTCATGTTCTTCAAGCAAGGATTGCAGCTCTCTGGCCGAGGCTTTGTTTGAGCAGATGAAAGCCGTTTTGGTGGTGCTGACCATCAGGCCCTGATTCTCGAGGTCAGCTTTAAGCTCCCTGTAACACTTGATGGCTTGAGCAGCGACTGTCGGCGCATGAGAATCGACAAAATCTGCTGAGCAATCGTCCACCCACAAATCGATGTGGTGTACAGGGGAGGCAGAGTGCATCTTCGAGATCGGATCGTGGAGCACAACTCTGGAAAGAGCAGGGGCGAGAGGGCAACCTGCTATGAGACCTCTTGTAGCTCGGATGGGGCGAGACAGACTCCCCTGCGCTTCTATGTATCGGCTGCCTGAGTAAAGGCTTAACGCTCTTTCAAGTAGAAGCGGGGGAAAGGAGTGTCGGACACCCTGGGCTAGGAGCTGCCAATGTGGGACAGTCTCATAGAAGGATGTTAGATCAAGGAGAAGGGTAATGGTGTGACGCTTCTCTCTTTTGTTTGTTTCAGCCCTGATTAGGCGGCGGAGGGCCGTGTCAAGGGAACTGTTCCCTGCCTTTGCCTGATTCCAGGGAGAGGTAGGGTTGTAACTGTTCTCCCACTCTGTGATAAGATGCCATCTCGCCTTGCAAAATATCCTGTGAAGGACATGGGTTAACCCAATAGGCCGTTCGGATGTTTCATTTTTGGGGAGCATGGCATACTGTGTAATATCACAGTGCTGGGGAAACTGGGCTTCGATTTCCCATTGGCGCACCATGCTAGCCAATTCAAGAATGGCTTCATGAGGTAATGCTCGGAGCATTTCATAGCACCACCCATCTGGGCCTGGGGCTTTGTTTGGGACCTTTTTTAGGAGGGAATTCCATTCCTCCACCGAAATGGGCGAGAGGTTGGCTGCTTGTTTCCTCGCTTGGTTCTGCAGGGCCAAGCGAGGGTCGGTGCCATGAGTGCCGCTCAACCCACTTGGGGCCCACATGTCAGCCCACCATGCCCTTCTGGCGTGAGGCTTAACCTCCACCGCAAGGTCCGCAAATGGGCGAGTAGTGGTGTTTTCCTCAGTCTTGAGTGCCCGGTAAAGGTGGCGCAGATGGTTTTTCCCATCACCTTGGAGCCAGGCCTCGTACTTTTTGGCTTGTTCCTGATGTGCTTTCCTCAGGTGAAGTTTTCGTTGTGTTTCGATGATTTGTCTGACCTCTTTGGCTTTGGGCCCTTCTTTTCCAAAGTGCTCTTGGACGAGGTTAACCGCTGTCTGGCACCTGAATGCATCGCATTCCTCCCAATTGAGAAGGAGTTGGGAGAGGTGGGATTGGACCACCTGCTGAAGCTTGGGACTCAGACCAATGCGGAGGCCTTGCCGGTGCCAGACCGTAAGTCTACCCCAGAATTTGGACTTCCCACCAGCCCAGACGAAACCTGTGGGTTTAGGCGGGGCTAGTGGTCCAATATGGGTTTCAACCTGGCAACCCCTGCCTCTGATGTCTGAGGGATAGAGGCTCGCCTCAACACGCTGGGTAAAACCGGCAAACCCAGCTGTAATGGCGTCATCCGCCCTCGGCTCTAGGAGGAGGCTGGGATAAACCAAGGTGAAATGTTCTTGGAATGGTGCCTGTTCATCGTCAACAGGTCTCCGGAAGGGCCTGGCTTGTAGGGTACAGACTCGGAAAACCCCCACATTGAGTGTGTACCGAATGGCGCAATGGGGCCTGAAGGGAACGTCCCAATCAGTTGTGATTTCGAGCCCATTTGAGACGGTGTGGCTAGCTATGGCAAAGTCGATTTCATTGCCACCCATGATGGTGGGCTCGTTAGTAGCTAGCACTTTCCCGCGCAGGAGGGACCCAATCGAGGTTTCGAGTATGTCTTGCGGTGGGAGGTTGAAATCCCCGGCTACAAACCATTCAATGGTGAGGCCTTTAATGAAGGCAATAAGATCACCGACAATGGTGGGGTTGTGTCCTCCAGTGAGGCCTACACTGGTTTCAAGGTAGATGGAAATAAAAACAATGTCCCTCTTCCCGGTTCTACCTACCACAGCCACATACCCTTTACCTTCAACACCAAAGGATCTCAGGAATCGGAAATTTCGATCTTTTTCAACCGCAATCATGACGCCTCCAGAGTTTTTTCCCCCCTCAGTTGGGTGGGCCGGTAGGGTCCAGGCAGCGTACCCGGCCTGATCCAACTGATGGATGGCAAGATGTTGTTCTTTGGCTGTGAGGTGGGTTTCCTGGAGACACACCCCCTGTGGTCGCCTATCTAGGAGCCACGTTTTGACCTCAGCTCTCCATCTTGTGACATTGGCAACTGTGATTTCAAATTTTGCTGGTTCGTCTTTGGGCTGCCTTTTTGCATCAGCAATTGCCTCCAGACAAACACTAGGTTCGTTTCTGTGAGTGGCCAGTTGATGCAATGCATGGTTGGCCGCCCATTCTTCAAGAGACCCTTGGCGGATTGGCATTTTATCCACCAGTTCCACCAATTCCTCCTCACATGCAGCAAGTGACTGGTCCTTGGCCTTGAGGAGGAGGGAGGTGAATTCATCGTTGGGATTTTCGTCTTCCGCCAGGGCTGAAAACCGGTTGTAGAGATTGATTGGGGAAGGACCGAACTCCCTCCACTCAGGTGAGATATTGTTTGTAAAAACCCCCCTAGAAAGGGGGAAAGGGTCAAAATCGTCCTCCGTCCCCGGCTTGGATGGTGTGGTCAAAACAGCCTGAGACTCGGGAGTGCCTGAAAGGCTCGCGGAGGGCACACGGGTGCTAGCCTTCTCAACGTCTTTGGACCAAGAAAGCTGGCCCTTCGCCTTCCACTTCTTCTTATATACAGTGACAAAACCTTGTTCGGCTTCCGAACCTCCTGGCCACAGGTCGGGCTCCTGGTGAGGCCAATAGCCCACTATTAAACCCCACGTGGCGCCCTCCCGGCCGGGTTCCTAACTCCTGGTTTTGGGCGAGCGGCTGCGCTCCCCTTTTTCCTTGCCCCCGTCTTTGACGGAGGTGGGTGGGGAGGCGCTTTGGGTAGCCAGCTTGCGTCGCTTGCGCTCAAGCTGCACTTCAAGTTCTTCTCGTCTTAGCTCAAGGTCTTCGATTTCCATGTTGGGGCATCCTTGCTCAATTGCCGCCTTGAGGTCGATGGTTTGTGAGGGGCCGGGCCACTGCCCAGTGATTACCATGTTCTTTTGGTCTGGGGTTAGGGTCACCCCAATGGCTTCCAACTGGGCTGCAATGGCCTGACCCCCTATACCTGGAGGACTCCCCCCCAATCCAGGCGGGAAACCGGCATGGGCCAGCAGTTGCTCCGCAGCCTTCTGCCTTCGCTGGAGCTTGTGCTGGGCCTGGGCATCCCGCACCTTTTGGAGTTGGGCTTCATCAAGGGAAAGGCCAATGCTTCCAAGCACCTCGGACAGATTAAAGTCCTCATCTTCTTCTTGAACGGGCGCCTGAAGTACCTTGTCCCGGAAGGTCTTGGCAAGGGTTTCCATATTTTCCTCAGCCGCTTTCAGCTCTTGCATCAAGTTTTGCATTTCAACATACAACGCTTTGAGGGCGGCTTTCGATTCGTCAATCTGGGCTTGGAGACGAATTTTGCGGTGGCCTAAGGATCGCAGCTTGGTGGATGCCCCTTTGAGCTCGTTCGTGGCTGTTATGGCGGCTTCTTCTGGCGGAACATCGAACCTTGTTCCTGTTGTGTAGCGCTGTCTGGACGTCCGCTGGCAGATCCCCAATGTGGGCCTGCAATAGGTCCAGAAGGGCCACCTCATCCGACGACTTGTCCTCCACCGGGGCCCTGAAACCGGCCTTGGAGAGTTCAACACGGGCAGCTTCGGGAATTTGTTCCCATACCCCTTCCAAGGCCTTGTAGACCTTAGGGGTTCGAGGCGGCTTGGGCGACGGCGGGTTGGGCGTGCCCCCCATTGCCTCCCCATTCTGGGCTTTGGGCTTAGGGGCTTTGGGGTTCCTCCAGGTGGCAGATTCCCACACTGTAGGACGCCTCCCCTTGGTGGGCCAGGTCTTTGCACACTTCTTGCATTTGAGGTCCTGCGTGATTAGATCTGTGTAGATCCAATTTCCGCAGCCCTTGCAAACAGTGTATTCCCGACCCATTGCGGGAGGCGTGTTGACCACCCTTTCTCCCCCTATGATGGTGGGAGGGTGTGTTGGTCAACCCCCGTTAGGAGCGAGCCCCTTTCCGGTGGGTACGGTATGCTATGGCACTACAATGCCTATTGTGCAGCAGGTCAGTCCTTTCTTCCTCCTAACGAAGACTTCTCCTGGCTTCTTTCACCAGGGTGACGCCTAAGCTTCTCGGATAGATGCCGGTATCTGCGACACTGGCAGCACCTACGTGTTCGTGGTCTCCTGGGCAAACGAAGCGTGAAAGAGACCAAACAAAGCTCGCACTCGAACTCACAAACCACCAATGCTTGAGGATTCTCTTTCCGTCCTCCTCGAAGCAACACCTATCCACAAGACACTCGTGAGAAAGACCCAAACTCTTAGCAGTCGTCTGGTACACCGTTTCTCCCCACAAACCTGACCCTTTAGGCCATTCGTGAGAGAGCAAGAGTCTCTCGTGTCCCACAAAGTCCTTAAAGACCGCACGAATGCGTCGCCAAGACTGTTTGTGGACCTTCAGGCTGGCTCTCCAACGCTCGCGGTTCCTGAGATCCTTGCAGAATCTTAGGTGACGAAGTCCACACCCGGCGCTGCACGGGGTAGATAGGTGGGCATAGACCCGCACGCCTTCGTTTTCAGTGAAGGCATTCAGGATACCTTTCATAAGATGGAAGGCTTCCCTACTCAACAGGTCTATCTTCTTGGTGATTCCGAAGTAGGCAATCTCGCGATTTCGCTCGCAGGCCTTCGAGATTGCACTCCCTTCCTGGCAACAAAGCTCCAGTACTATGAAATTGGCCTCACCAGAAGCTACGCGGCACGCAGCCTCTTTCCACGAACTCGGTACTTCGAGAATTTCTTTCTCTAATTCGCGTTCATTGGGCTCTTGAAAGGTGACCTTAGGAGGACGTACCTCTGTGGTCGCTTTGGAGGTTTCGGTCCAGCATACTGGCTCCGTCACCAATCCGCACGCCTCACACACGGTAAGAAGACTATCAGCAGTTGGTGCTTTAGTTAATGCATCCGCAGGATTTATCCTGCCTGGGATGTGTTCCAGACTTAGACGCTCTTTAGCTACCAACTGCTGCAAGAATGCCGCCCGGAGCTCGATGTGTCGCACCTTTCGAAGAAGTGTTCCCATCTGAGCTATGGAGAGGGCGGACTCTGAGTCCCCATAAGCATGAAGCTTATACTTACCTTCCTCAACACCTTCGGGCATTCCTTCTACCATGGTCTGCACAAGAAGACTGATGTACAAACCTTCACGTGCGATTTCGGTGAGAGCTGCCAGTTCCGCCTCCGCTGAAGATAGTGCAATCGTGGTTTGCTTTCGGCTAAACGTCTTAAGGGCGCAGTTATTCCAGGTAACTATCCCTCCACTCACAGAGTTCAGACCCCAACTTGCGTCAACGAAGCACGAGACCGACTCAACGTCCTGGTCCTCCGCTAGGATCTCTCTCTCCGAGGGAAACACCTGGACCTTGTGCGAAAGCCCAGCAATCCAACGAAGCACATCCCTCATACACGCCTCTGCGGCGCAGTTTGGGGACGCTTGGTGTCGACCAAGAAAGCCGCAAACGTACTGAAGATCTGGTCTGGAGAGGGCAGCCCAGGCCAGTCGGCCGAGGGTCCTTCGGTACCTCTCGTGGGCCTCAGGCGTAAGAAGAACACACTGCTCTTCTTTCTTTATCAGATCCGCATACCTCCTTTCCAGGGGCGGAAGCTTAGGAGCAGCCTTGGTGACGCTATACTCCTGAAGACAAGATTCAAGATACTTCGCGTCCAGTCCGAAGTAGACCTTGTTCGTCCCTGTTTCTCTGCGGAAGATCCTCCGGCCCAGAAAAGAAACCTCACCCGGACG